GCATCAGAGCTCTGGGTTCTAGTCCCAGCTCCACCCAGCCTTCGTGTGATTCCAGGAGTCACGAAGCTATCCTGCTTCTGTTTCCCCAGCAGTGGGATTCATGGATACCCAACATCAGGCTTATGGAACTCCTGACCTCAGGCAGTCCACCCGCCTCAGCCTCCCAAAGTGCTGGGAGTACAGGTGTGAGCCACCGTGCCTGGCCACAGATTCTTAAATGAATCAATTACCGAAAGTTTGTTTCCCATATGAGTTTCAGAAATATGCAAAACATATTTGCATATTCGCAGATGCCCAACGTCTGCAGAATCAGAATGTCTGAGGAAGGCACATGGAGGTCTTTTTGACAAGTGTCATAGGTGATACTTTTACACACTTCGGTCAGAAAAACCACTGGGCTTACATATGCCTGTGGCCACTTTCAATCTTCCTAGAGTTCTACAGACTCTAATTATATGGTATGTTTTGCATATTTCTGAAATTCATATGGGAAACAAACTTTCAGTAATTGATTCATTTAAGAATCTGTGGCCAGGCGCGGTGGCTCATGCCTGTACTCCCAGCACTTTGGGAGGTTGAGGTGGGTGGATTGCCTGAGGTCAGGGGTTCGAGACCAGCCTGACCAACATGGTGAAACCCTGTCTCTACTAAAAATACAAAAATTAGCCGGAAATGGTGGCATATGCCTGTAATCCCAACTACTCCAGAGGCCGAGGCGGGAGAACTGCTTGCATCCAGGAGGCGGAGGTTGTAGTGAGCTGAGATTGTGCCATTGCATATTGCACTGCAGCCTGGGCAACAAGAGTGAAACACTCTTTAAAAAAAAAATCTGTATGAGATCTTGATATTGAAGGGAAGTCTGAAATAAATCATTCATGGTGTGAATCATTCATAATGAGTGCCTGGCCCACTTGCCACTGATTGACTAGCACTGGGTTTTCCTCCAGTGAGGTCCATGTGTGTCTCGCAGCACACCTGGCAGGGGTGTTCAAGGAGAAGGGAGAGTTTCACAAAGTGGCTGTTACGGTTGCCTGATATTGATCTGGTGACTTGCACCCAGGGAAAATCTATGGATGGCAGAGATGATGGTCTGAAGTCTTAGGGCAGAGTCCTGAGGTCCCCGTGCTGTCCCTTGGTTAAGCATATTTGCTTCTTTGATCCTCCCAGAATTCCAGGTCTGGGTCAGACCGTCTTTCTGAGAAGTTGTATAAGGAATTGTCATAGGTTTCAGAACAGTAGCATGATTTGCACTTGCTGGAATATTCATATAAAGACAGTACCTTTTCATCAGGGATGTTAGGGAACATGTGGCATCACCCTTGGAAGGTGGATCTGCTTTCTGTACCATAAACTCCAGGTGGTCTGCATGCAGGAAGTGTTTGTTCTTCCTTCCTTGTGGCTCTGCCCCACAACCCTGCTCTGAGAGTTGCACACACACATCCTTTTTTTCACACCATCTGCTGTCTCACCACCCTCCTGACCAGGCTGAATTACTTGGCTGCAACCCTAACTGATGTTACAAAGTTTACCAGTTAAATCCATTCTCTTTCCCCACATCCTGAGAACCTAAGCTCCATGAGGTTAGGGGCCATGTTTTACTTTTCTGTCCTACTGGGCTTGCGTTAGTTCCCATGTGTTGCTCTAAAGGAATACCCGAGGCTGGGTAATTTAGAAACAAAAGATTTATTTTGGCACATGGTTCTGCAGGCTGTCCAGGAAGCATGGTGCTAGCATCTGCTTTTGGTGAGGCCTTAAGACACTTCCAATGATGGCAGCAGGTGAAGAGGAACCAGTGGTGAGAGAGGGAGCAAGAAAGAGAAGGAGAACTCCCAGACTCTTGAAACAAGCAGATTCTGTGTGAGCTTCTGACTGTGGGGAGGGCACCAAGCTTGTCATGAGGAATGTGCCCCTATCACCAAACACCTCCCACCAGGCTCCAGTTTCAACACTGGGGATCACTTTGTTTTTATTTTTAATTTTTAATTTTTGTGACTGCATAGTAGGTATATATGTTTATGGGTTACATGAGATATTTTGATACAGGCATGCAATCTGTTAATAATCACATCAGGGTAAATGGGGTATCTGTCACGTCAGGTATTTATCCTTTTTGTTATAAACAATCCAATTATAGTCTTTTAGTTATTTTAAAATGTACAATTAAATTATTTTTGACTATGGTCTCCCTGTTGTGCTATGAAACTGTAGGTCTCATTCATTCTTTCTATTTTTTGTATGTATTAACCATTTTTTTGTATGTGTTATTCATTTTTTTGTATGCATTAACCATCCCCACCTCCCCAGAAACTCTTAGTCTCCTTCCCAGCCTGTGGTAACCATTCTTCTACTCTGTTTTCATAAGTTCAATTGTTTTGACTTTTAGATCCTACAAGTAAGTGACAAGATGCAATATTTGTCTTTCTGTGTCTGGCTCCTTTCACTTAACATAATGATCTCCAGTTACATCCATGTTGTTGTAAATGACAGGATTTCATTCATTTTTTTTTTATGGCTGAATAGTACTCTAGCTTGTATATGCACCACATTTTCTTTATCCATTCATCTGCTGATGGACATTTAGGTTGTTTCCAAATCTTGGCTATTGTGAACGATGCTGCAGCAAACATGGGAGTGCAGAAATCTCCTTGAAATACTGATTTCCTTTCTTTCAGGTATATACCCAGCAGTGGGATTGCTGGATTGTACAACAGCTCTAGTTTCAGACTTTCGAGGAACCTCCAAACTCTTCTCCATAGTACTTGTACTAATTTACATTCTCCCCAAGCGTGTACAAAGTTCCCCCTTTCTCCACATCTTCACAAGCATTTGTGATTGCCTGTCATTTGGTTATAAGCCATTTTAACTGGGGTGATATGATATCTCATTGTAGTTTTCATTTGCATTTCTCTGATAATCAGATTGAGCACTTTTTCTGTGCCAGTTTGCCATTTGTAGGTATTCTCTTGAGAAACATCTATTCAAACCTTTTGCCCATTTTTTTTAATCAGATTATTAGACTTTTCTCCCATAGAGTTTTTGATTTCCTTATATATTCTGGTTATTAATCCCTTGTTAGTTGGGTAGTTTGCAAATATTTTCTTCCATTCTTTGAGTTCTTAATTTTTACCTTTGCTGTGCAGAAGCTTTTTAACTTGATATAATCCCATTTGTTCATTTTTGATTTGGTTGCTGGTGTTTGTGGCATATTAGTACTCAAGAAATTTTTGCCCAGACCACTGTCCTGAAGAGTTTTGTCAATGTTTTCTTTGGTAATTTCACAGTTTGAGGCCTTAGATTTAAGTCTTTAATCAATTTTGAGTTGATTTTTGTAAATGGCAAGAGATAAGGGTCTAGTTTCCTTCTTCTGCATATGGATCCTCAGTTTTTTCAGCACCATTTATTAAGGAGACTGGTTTCCCAGTGTATGTTCTTGGCATCTTGTCAGGAATGAGTTAACTGTAGGTATGTGGATTTGTTTATTGGTTCTTTGTTCTGTTCTATTGGTTTATGTGTCTGTTTTTATGCCAGTACCATGCTGTTTTGGTTACTATAGCTCTGTAGTATAATTTGAAATCAGGTTGGGATCACATTTCAGCATGAGATTTAAAGGGGACAAAACATCCAAACCATGCCACAGTCCATTATGCTAGGGTTTGGCAAATGCTTCCTGATGGTCTGTAATTCTGCTTTCGTTTGCCCCAACTGTGCTCATTAGCTACACCCAAGTCATGGATAGTTGAAAGAGAGTCACGATTACTACTATAGGAAATCCTGCCTGTACACAGAGAATACATTTTGTTTACACTGCCTATCCCAATTTCTCTCCCTTTTCTCATAGAATCTGTTCCATCTCCCCAGCCACTCTCCCCACTACATTCAGATGGTCTTGTGTGATTAGCTATGATTCCAGTGATCTCCTGGCATCATTGATAAGTCCAGTGGTGGATACTGAACAATTAGAATTTTTTGCATTTGGGATCCAGAGAGACTTTGTTTCCGGCAGTAGAATCTCGAAAGTGCTTGGCTGCCATGGTGACCACCTTGGCAGAGAGAGGGAGAGGGAAGAAGTGATAAGAGAGTGTGAGAGCCCTGAATGCTTTGCCTCCCAGGGATCCTGAGACGCAAGCCACTACTCTGTTTGGTTTCATGGGGCACTTGGAGGATGTTCTTGATAAATCCATTTACCTTTAACCACCTTGAAATTGGCTTCTGACATTTGTAACCAAGACTCATAAATTCCTAAACTAAAGAATAAATAAGCCCCTTAAAAAATGAATGAAAGCCATGAAGAGACATGTCTCAAAAGAAGACATATAAGCAGCCAACAAGCATATGATAAAATGCTCATCATCATTAATCATCAGAGAAATGCAAATCAAAACCATAGTGAGATGCTATCTTATACCAGTCAGAATGGCTATTATCAAAAAGTAAAAAAATGTAAGATGTTGGTGAGGTTACAGAGAATGCTTGTACATTTTTGGTGGGAGTGTAGATTAGTTGAGCCACTGTGGAAAGCAGTTTTGGGATTTCTCAAAAAACTTAGAACAGAACTACCATTCAACCTAGCCATCTCAACACTGGGTATATATCCAAAAGAAAACAAATCATTGTAACAAAAAGACACATGCCTATGTATGTTCATCCCTGCACTATTCCTAACAGCAAAGACATGAAATCCACCTAGGTGTACATCAGTGGTGGACTGAGTTAAGAATATATGGTACATGTATACAGTGGAAAACTACACAGCCATAAAAAGAGCAAAATCATGTCCTTTACAGCAACTCGAATGGAGCTTGAGGCCAGAATCCTAAGTTAATTAATGCAGGAACAGAAAAAATACCATGTGTTCTCACTTAGAAGTGGGAGCTAAGCATTGAGCACACATGGACATAAACATGGGGACAATAGATACTGGGGACTACCAGAGAGAAGAGGGAGGGAGGGGGTGTGGTTTAAACAATTACCAATTAGGGACTATGCTCACTACCTGGATGGAATATACCCATGTGACAAACCTGCGCATGTAAAATGAAAGTTAAAAAAAGTACATAAACTTTTCCAGTTAGCAAGCATCTTTTCTTTTTCCTAATTCTCCCAATTTTAGTGGAACCATCTGAATAGATTTGGGCACCTTATGTTGCTAGATATGAGAAATGTGCCATTTATCCCTTTATGTTAAAAAAAGAGGACCATGTAATGTGTAAAATGCTTTATTATGCTATGGTTTTAGATTCTTTAGTTGAATGATAAATGTCATAATCTCGTCTAAACTAGTCCCATAACTCTCTTTTATCTCCTAGGCTGAATGTATTTATTTTCTTTTGTCCTCAAAATTATTTTGGAATTATGACTTGCCATTAATATTCAAAAAGTTATCAAATAGAAGAGGAAAGCATTCTGAAGGTGGGGAAATAGACTCTGGTTAACAGGAGACATTTATGTGTTATTTTACCAGCCCAGAAGGTCAAGTGCTAGGAGCTGGAACTGCAAAGGCCTGAGGACCTTCAGCGCTTTGTCAGCACTGACCAAGTGGACAGGGCCACTTCTGCCCTGGCCACATGGGTCACGTGCCTCCCTTTGAAGAATATCTGAGGCATTTTTCCTGCATCCCCTAAAGAGTTTCGTTCCTAAAATGCTTAAGGAGGGCTGGGGTTTCCGGACAATTAAACCTCGTTTTGTTTGAAGGAGAACCCCCAAACCTTTGTATTTCTGACTTAAAATTTTGAAAATACTTTTTAATGTCTTCACAAGTTCATATCAGCTTCTTGTTTGCAAGTTGGCAAAGTTGATCTGATTGGTTAAGACAAATGGATATATACATAAAAGAAGGATGGATCTGGAAAGGGTCACCATTGGACTTTACTATCTAACCCTAAAGTTGACTTCTTGTATAAATCCCCAATGCCAGCTTTTTTAAAATGCAGAAATGTAATAATTTTTCTTTGGAATATTCAAGAAGTCTTATTAATTTCATATCCCTCTTTGTGATGTTCAGTTAAGTGAGATTGCTCTAAGCAGAAGTGTTGATGCAGTGCATGCTGTCTTTGGATTAAATGGTTTATGCAGATTGGTTATGGTTCTCTTATAGGTTCTGTATTGGGCAGGGATGATGAGTGGATGGACATCTTGCAGATAACTCTCTTGCCCAGTTTACTATGGGGTTCACGGTAGTTGTGGAGGAAGGCCTTTCTGTCTGGGGGCAGAGCACAATTTTTGTGTCCCTTTACTCAAAATGCTAACTCAACGTGATCTCTGGTAGGTGTCCTGAATTGTCTTTAAAGAGTGACTGAGATTACTTTTTCAATTCCGAATATACTGCTGAACCCCTGACATGCAGAGCGATGTATCTGGACTGACAATTTGGCCAGGGATGGTCTATGCCAAGCATCGAAGGATGTGAAGAGATGCTGGGGAAGGGTACAAGAAGGAAGGAAGGGAACCCCCTGAGACCAGGAAGGAAGATGCTGTGGTTGGCCCTGTGGCTCAGAAAACAGGCAGGTGAAGGAGTGGAAAATGGTCACCTTGATCCAAGGAACCACCTGCCCCACTACAAGTGAACACCAGCTGACCCAGGGCTGCCTGTGTTCGTCTTCTTCCTCAGTTTTCCTCAAATGTACATGCAAAAGATATTAGATGGCTTCCACGAAGACTCCATGCATATGAGAATTCCCATTCACAAACACAAAGCCCTGTTGACAAGAAGACAATGAGCCTCATGAGCCTCATGGCCAGTTTCTGGGAGATTTGTTCTGTATGCACTCCAGGATCTGAATCTGCTCTCAAAATCACTAGCTCCAGTCTGCAAAAGAAAAATACCTTGCAGGACACTCTGCCTCTTAATATGTTAGTCTTTCCAATTCGTAGACTTTTCTCTCTCCTTAGAATTAGCATGACGGTTTTCAAAGCAAGATTTTCAGCCGCATAAGAAGAATCCCTCCTCATCTTTATAAACATAAAGGGAAATAATTGACAAATGTTCATGTCATAGCTCCCCTCTACATAAACCCACACATGCACACACGCATGCACAGATGTGGCTAGTGGTCCTAACTTGGTTAGGTTAGAACAAAGGCAACAGACATCCCTCTGTCACCATGCAGGCACCCAGGGCTGTGCCTGCCCATCAGCCCCGATAGCAGCAATTACACAGTCCGTGGGTGTGATGAGCTGCAAACTAAACATTTGTAAAAAGGCTGTAATTAATGCAATTAGCTATTTACACGATAGCCCATAATGAATCCAAAGGCATCGTTATTGACTATTGAGTAAATAATCTGACATTAAAAAGTCAATGATCTGCAAATGAAATATTCTCTCTCTCTCTCTTTTTAAAGGAGGAAAGATGAAGGAAAGAAAATTAAGGAAAAGAGGAAAACAGGCAAAAAACTCAGCAAAGATGTCATTGCATAATAGTCCATTATGCCTCCAATTGCGCTGTCATGAACTATCAAAGAAATAATTGCACAATAAGCCCATAATGGCTTAATCGTGTCAACATCTTTGCATTTACATATTTTTTTAATCAATGGAAATTAAGTACATAAATGGGTCTTTTGGTTTCCATCCTGATTTTACCTTTGTGACTGGGGGCGGGTTGAGGGTTGGGTTCTCTCTGCCACCTTGAAGGGAGGCTGCAGTCCCTGAAATCCTCCCAGATGTATCTGAGGCTGATTAGTTTGTGGGCATGGGAGGGCCCTGGGAGCCATGGTGTTGGGACAGGCAGACACTGTAGGAATCAGCAGCAGGGTGTTGGTGTTGCCCAGGGCCAGGCACACACTTGATTTGATCTTCTGCAGGAAAACATGCTCACTCTCCTTCTGTCACACGCATGTCTTTCTGGTCCCAACCATTCGTCACGCACGGACAGCTGTCCGGAAGCAAGGCTCTTGTCTCCAAAGAGAGAAATGACCACTTATGGAGAGGGACCACTGAGCCACTCACAGTTACCCTGGCCCAACCTTCATCTTGCCATGGCTCATCCAACCCAGGGTTTGGCCAGTGCAACCTGATGGCCTGCTGGATTAAAATCAGCAGTACCAGCTGGCCCTCCCCTCCTGTGGTTTTCCTCCTCTTCATGGCCTCATTTGGGGGCAGAAATGGTTGAGCTTAGTTTTGTAGAACATTCAACCCCTGGGGACCTTCCTTACAGAGGCTTTATTTTAGGTAGGCAATCACAGATCTATCATCTCTCTATCTATCTGTCTGTCTGTCTGTCTATCTATCTCAATCAATCAATCAATCAGTCATCTATCATCTGTCATCTATCAACTATCTGTCTATTTATTATCTATCTATCGATCAATCATCTATCTATCCTCTATCATCTGTTATCTACCTACCATCTCTCTCTCTCTCTCTCTCTCTCTCCACCCAGATGTGTCTGATGCGGATGTATGTGTACCAATGCATACACACCAATGTGACTAATTTGAAAACCTGGTAGTTTTGCTTAAAGATCCGATGATCAGAGAAATGCAAGACAAAAGAGGGACCTTGAGACCTGGAGAAAGAAAAAGGTTGATCTCTCTTGCTGCCTGCCCAGAGCATGAATTCTAAGACAGCTGTGCACATGAGACAGGAGATGTGGCAAGAACTAGCGGCAGCTCTCTTGCAACACTGAAAGGGGCTGAAAGCCACCCATTGGCCTGCTCTTAGAGCATGAGCCATGGAAGAAATAATATCAGCTAATGTCTGCAGAGAGCTTTACATTTATAAAATACACTAACATACTTTAATTCCAGTTGCTCCTCATGACAAAACTCATTAGCAATAGTAAGAATAATAACAGTCATTATTTACTTAGCACCTGTGTGCTGTGCCATACCCTACAGAGTTCATTTGTTCACGACCGTCGCTAACACCTAGAACACTGCCTGGAGCTCAGTACCGAATGACTGAGTAAATGAATACACCTTGAGATGTAAATCTCCATTTTACAAATAAGGAACCAAGCTCAGAGAAGTATATTATATTAACTTGTCCTGGGTTGCACAGCAGGTAAGTGGCAGACCTGGGCTTTGAAATCTGGTTTTGCTGTCTCTCAAGCCTGGGTCACTTTCTCCTGATTTTGCAAAGGAAGCAGCAGATGCATAGAATGTCCAGGCTCAGAGTTGTTTGGACTAGAGTTGTGTTACATCTGTGTGTTCGTGTCTATCATGGGTCAGAAGGAGAAGGCTCCATACATCTCATGTCTTCTTCACCCACTCTCCTTCCTGGGAAAACTGTTCTATTTTTTCCATTCTTGTGAACAGCAACACGGGCTGCCAAGTTGAGAGTCCTAGTCCGTGGAGGTGTGAGTGAGTGGGGGATGCTGATTAGTGGGGGGCTACATGCATGGAACTTCCCCATACGCTGAGTGGCCTAAATAGGGCTGAATGAACTTTAGAGAAGTTTTCAGCTCTCCAAATACTTTATCCCTTGTGAACAAGCTTGCCTATCTGCTAGGCCCACACAACTCTTTTAAATCTGGATGATTCTGATTCATGGTGGGGAAAGGGGTGTCTTTGTAGACCTGACGCTGTAGGCAAGGTGAAGACAGAGTAGTGTTTTCACAAACATGAGAGGGGCAGCTTACTTCCTTCTGAGAAGTAGCCGGGGCTGGCGTGCCACTTGCTCCAGGTGCAGGGGGATTAAGGCCAGGTGGGGTGTGCCCAGCAAAGGGTATGCTTGGGGGGTAATGCCTTGCATTTGTGCACAGGCCCAGGGACCTCTGTGGTCTACCATATGATGCCACCTTTGTTCCTATTCAAACAGCCAAGATGGAAAAAGATGAGTTGCGTTATCCCAGGCACGGCGGCTTCTGAACAGGGCTGTGAGTTTTTGTACTTTTCTGTCTCAAGTCCTCTTCGGTGGGGGACTATCTCCACTGTCTCTCAGCAGTGCGATCACTTTCAAGAATTGTTGCCTGTGCTGTTATGAAACAAAACGAAGCTGATTACAGCAGGTGACTCAGAATGGACAGGAGTGCGTATTGCTAGCAGCATGTGAGGAGGCCATTCATCCAAGTTTTATCTGATCCAAAGCTCTGGATTGATCAGTCACTGCTTATAAATGGCATGAAGCCGAGAGCCCCGTCTGTGTGCGCCGGGGGTCTGCGTCGCTCCTGTGCAGAGCTGTCCCCTGTGGGAACTCGGCCTCGAACAACCCGGCTAATGAGGCAGTCTTGGGGGAGGGAGATGCAGAGGGTAGTGTCCAAGAAGCAAGTCCATGCAGTGAATTGGGGATGGGTGCCCTCATGGTGAGGGTTTGATAGGCACCCTGCCTAGAGAATGGGGTCTTGTATGTGTGATTGGGGAGCACGCAGGTCAACTGGAAGTCCGGAGGTTTAACAGGGGCTCATCACCACCCAGTGGAATGAAGCTGCTCAGGGCAGGGAAGGGTGCAGTTTCAGAGTTCTGGCTTTC